TGGTTTAAAGACAGTAAAATCTCTCCCCTGCAAAATCTACCTTACTTCTGATAGTTGTTTAGTATCACTTCACAGGTTTGGAATTGAAAAGGAGGCTTTCGGATATATGGATTGCATTGGTGTAATCCTGTGTTGTAGGTCAAGGATTTGTGACATGAGCATGAATTTTGCCTTTTGACCTTGCTGAATAAGGAGATGGCAGCATTAGACCCCACTTGAAAGCGGTCTAATATAGATGCAATGAAAATCTGCCTCGGAGACCCTGGTAACAGCTCAGCAGTGTTTACAAAGGTACTATATTTCTTGTAAGTACCTTTTGGTAACACTTTCTCAACTGTTGTACTATCAGGAGCAACTCCTAGATTTCCCCACACCATTGTCATCGCTTAAAATCTTTTTCTTGGGCTGCAGCTGTGAATGGGCCGACTGCAGACCATTTGTTATGGGCTTGTTCTCCACTGATGGAGGTCCACCAATTATATGTAACTAACTTTTCTGGCTACTGGTTAAAATTAAGAAAGGGAGCCGAGAATGCTGGATGAGTGTTTAAAGATCTAGACAGCTGAATAGCAACCACTTTTTTTTGCTTGTTCAAAGTTTGCAGAGTGAGAGCCTTGAATTCACAAGAGCAACCTACCAGAACTGACCAGATCCTGGGATGGCTGCTGTGATGAGGGCAGAGACCAGCTGAGATTAACTGTGGCATTTAGTTTGCTGTCAGGTTTCTTTATAGACTTTTTGAATAGAGGCTTACTGGTAGGCTACATAATCTTTTTTCTTTCTTAGTCAATATGATTAATTTCTCTAAGGCGTTTATTGGTGGACTTCTGCTCTTTAAAGATGGACTAAATATTAGAGGGTAGCAAAATACACTCTTAAAGCTACTATAGAAATTACAGCAAGGTTATTTACACAAGGTATTCAATAAAATAAGTTCTATATTATAATAAACCCAGGATGATAGGAAACTTATCTCTCTTTTACATAGGAAAGCTTGGGATAGGAAGATACTGAATCACCAAAGGTACTGTAGTTTGCAGGGTTTTGGAATAGAGTTCGTATCTCTTGTCTTGTTCACTGAATTGTGTTATTGGCACTATTAGCTAAAAGCCTACTGTTGGTACTTTTAATACAATGAAATACAGCTTTGCTTTCATATTAGAAGTGTGTTTTGTTGTCCCTACTGTAAATGTTTTATGAAACAAACTTTACAATTCATTTTGTGTAGTGCTGTGACTGTTTTCAAGCAGGAGAGTTAGAAAGATGGTTACAGACGTGGGGAATCTGGCTTCTCTGCAGAGGGGAGAACACCCATTGTTCTACTGCGCTCTTGCTAGACTGAACAGAGAAGCAGCAGTGATGGCACTCCTCAGAGTGCCCTTCGTTACTGGCGATTGTGTTTTTAAAAGGTAGGGTAGCTCAGACTTTTCCTACCATGGGGAAAAAGGTGGGAGAACCTGTGATGTGTGACGTGGTTACGTGCATGGATTGCGGGTTGCCCATGTATGGTTTTACAACACAAGGGAATGGAATCTTGCCGTGTTACAGACTGTCGCTGTCTGGGTCTGTATTCATTCACCAGTTCCCAGTAGGAAAGTCTTTCCAAATAAATTTGGGTTACCTTCTACTTAAATAGTCTGTCAACAGTTCACTTAACTAATATATAATTGAAATCTACTTGAAATAGTAATTTGTCCGATGTTTAATTTTGGAAATGTACAAACTCTCAGTATATTACCTTAAATAGAAAAGTGCTATGTTATAAAATTGGAAGGCTTCAGAGCAGCACTTAAACATTAAAAATGCATTTAATGTGGGATATTTAGCTATTTGTATGTTGCTAATGCCAATGGAAATAGGTACCGTGTTAGGGCTTTCTGCTAAGGATTTTGCAGATAGTTTCAGTGGTAAGAATGTGAACATAAGTGCTTGTTGTAAATTAAAAATGCTGTTGAGACTGCTTTTTAATCCCATATTTGTAGAAGACTTAACTAGTGCTGCACAAAGTCCAGCATACAGTGTTAAGTGTTTTGCATATTATTGTATATAACTGCATTGGTATTTTAGAATTTTTTTCTTTTTAATTAATTGTTGTCTTAAGTATTTTGAAAATGGAAATCAAAATTACAGTAAACATTATGTCTTAATCCATCAAAAAAATGGCTTGTTCTGAAGATTATTTCATCATTCCGTGCTGCAGCAAAAGATTGCAGTGTGTGCTGCACTTAACACTTCGTTCTGAAGTTACTTGAGAGATGACATTTTTGGTTTGAATATGTAGGTAGATATGTCTGCATCCTTACTGGAATATTTTAGTCTGTTATTTTGCTCTTTTGTTCTGTTCTTGCTTATTTTTGGTATTGAAAAATAGATTTGTCCAGGTTTATGTTTTTGTTAAATAGCCTGCAGGCTGGTTTATGGTGTGTATATGTAAGGGAAAGACCTTATCAATACCAACACTTTTAAGCCTGGCATTTGCAGAAATTCAGAGAAGTGATGGTAACCTATTGGATCCTCTTTCTTTCTCTGTTCCTCCCTCCCAGAAATCTTGTTTCAGTAGCTCACTGAGGCTCCTGGTGGTGGTCATTCATTTGAGGTTCCCATGGAAAACTATTTTTTTTAGTAGCTTTTGGGAGAAGGTATATGGGCAATTGCTGCAATCTTAAGCCTGGCATTTGCAGAAATTCAGAGAAGTGATGGTAACCTATTGGATCCTCTTTCTTTCTCTGTTCCTCCCTCCCAGAAATCTTGTTTCAGTAGCTCACTGAGGCTCCTGGTGGTGGTCATTCATTTGAGGTTCCCATGGAAAACTATTTTTTTTAGTAGCTTTTGGGAGAAGGTATATGGGCAATTGCTGCAATCGAAAAGTTGTTTTGGGAGAAGGTATATGGGCAATTGCTGGTACTAATTGAAAAGTTGTTTATTTGTGCTGGGGGAAGAAGAACCCGTACATGTATTTATTCACTCAAAACTTGGCATTATTTCCCAGTGTGGTTGCCTAACTCTTCCTTTTTTGCCTGACAAAATCTGAGCTAAATCTGTATTTTGAGGGGGTAAAAATCATTTCTAAAAGGAACAGGGTACCCTTGCTTGTGCTTAAAGTGAGAAATGTGTGGGGTGGTGTGTGCTGTGGTGGCTTGGGGTGGGTCTGAGCAGGGAGGTGGCCGGGCCCTGAAGTGGCAGTTAGTCTTTGGAGTTTGTAGAGTGAAAATAGTGGGGTTGTCTTGGTGGTATTTTCCCTGCTCTTGTGATGCTTACTATTCCTTTAATACTTCCAGAACTATAAAGGAAGATTATGAGTAAAATATCAAACCAGATAGTATACACACAAGGAATATTTTGGGTTGGTTGTTTATGGTATACTTGTAAGCCTAAACCATGGCCAGTGTGATTTAATTGCTTCATATTTTTCATACATAGACTTAAATACTTTATTCGGTTTGTTTATTTTTTTTTAATTTGATTATTTTGACTTGACCGATTTCAAAACAGTTTTCTTCCTGAAGGAGTTAATGAGGGAGAAACTTAGAACAAAATTAAAGTTAGAAGTTGAATTGAATTTCAGGAAAATAGCTGGAGTGTTGAGTTCTATTTATTCACAGGGAGAACAAAAGAAGTGTCTTTCTCAAGGCTCGCAGAGAAAGGCGAGCACTGCTCGAAACGCAGGGTCTCGAATCAGAGCTCCAGGCTCCCTCCTGAAGAGTGTGCCGACAGTTAAAGCGCGCTTAATTATTTATTTGAATTTCTGAAACTCTTCAGTTCAGATCCATGTGACTGTTTCCTGAACATATTGTGATCTCTGAATGTGACAAGCAGATGCCTCTGATGGTTGAGCAAACAGTACTTATGAAAGACTTCTTTCTCATGAAATGGCAGATACATCCTGCAGGCAGTGGTGCTCCTGTCCTGTTATTTTTAAGTCTTCTCAACAGAAATAATCACTGGGAGGCCGTGTCAGTGAGAGGGGGATGGAAAGCAAGGCATGGGGCAGTCCTAGGAAATGGGAGCAATAAATAAAAACAGAAAGAAGGAATACCCTGCAAGTGCTTTTTCAAATACTTTATATAAATGCTAGTGCAGATTCCATTATATCTTTGTATTTGCAAGGTTGTGGCCCTTGCTGTTAGGATTGTATATGTGTGTCTGCCATGTGATGGGGCTGCAGCTGTGCAGCCTTTCTCCCTCCTTCCTTCCCTCAGATAGTGGCTGTGTCCGACACTGAAGCACTATGACTTAAAAATGAAATCAGTATTTATAACTTGTCATATTCTAATCAAACAGAGAGACTTCTGTGGTGAGATAATGCATGTAAAACACTTAGTATCTTGAACATGAACTGCTTTTCCTGTGAATCGCATGCTGTGATGAGGGAAATAAAACTCAAGGGCAAATGTTTAGAATACATGTATCTTTATTTTAATTCAAGAAGACTGGCTGAAAAGAGCAACTGAATGTTTTTCACAAAACGAGAGAAGTATCAATCTGTGTAACTAAAGTGTACTGTTTATTAGGGTGCACCAGTTCTCTAAGTACAGCAGTGTCATAAAAACTTAAGCTTTAGGGTCTTGGTATATTTTCACCTTTCAATGCTGTAATGTTTTGTGCAGGTGAACTTAAAACTTAAAATAAAGACCTGGTAAGATATTTATTGCAAAAGGACTCGTGTTAAATTATGTTTGTAAAAAATCATGTTTGTAATCATAAGATATTCTGTCATTTGATCAGCTTCCCATTTTCACAAAATTATCTGCACTAGTAAATATAACTCAAATAATCTATTCCAGTGAAGCAATCTTTGTTTATATGTTCTCCAGTCTTCTGCATTCAAACAGCTTTAGTAGCTTCTACTTGTTCCTTTTGACCAATGAATATGTAGGAATGGTAGTATTTCTCTTTAGAAGTATTAAAGATTTGTTGTAATCCTGTTACTTTTTTTTTATTTCTGTATGTTAGTATTGTTTGTCGTTTGAATTAAGATAAGTCTCTTCGATATTTTTCAGGTTCAAGCCATTTTTCCCGTTTCAAGTATTGCCACCTGATGAATATGAAGATAGAGACCTCTGTATACAGGATTTTCTGTTGACAGAAGGTCGATTAAAAGTCACATTAATTGAATGTACAAGGTATGTTTTGTGGTCTTTTGCTCACTCTTGACTAAGCAAGTACATGTGTTTCTTAAATTTGTAGTAATTATAGCTGTAGGTCTGTTCTAATTCAAGAAGTAGCCGCTTTGGTGTGGTGATTGAGCTCTAATCAAGAAATACTTTCATTTGTTCATTTTTACTTTAAAAAAAAAAAGTTGCAGTAAGTTTCTGAGGCGCTCTTATGTTGTGTGTGGGCGCATGCATTTGCCTTTCATTTGAATTTTGCCTGGTTACAAGCTAATCTGTGCCTCCTGGGTTTTGTTTTTGTTTTTTTTTTTGTTTGGCACACCAAGTTATGAATCTCTTTCCAGGACAGTATAAATGTTGTAATTATCCTATTGTATTATGTTGTAAGCAAAGGGAAATAATTGTGGCGCTCTTATGTTGTGTGTGGGCGCATGCATTTGCCTTTCATTTGAATTTTGCCTGGTTACAAGCTAATCTGTGCCTCCTGGGTTTTGTTTTTGTTTTTTTTTTTGTTTGGCACACCAAGTTATGAATCTCTTTCCAGGACAGTATAAATGTTGTAATTATCCTATTGTATTATGTTGTAAGCAAAGGGAAATAATTGTTTCACTCAGTCTTACTTAGATTAATCCAAATAACTTTTATAAGGCATTATTTGTTGTCTTTGTCTTGAACGAAATAATTGAAAGAAATAAAATCTACTTCCTTCGTTCATTGGAGAGAACACCATTCTCTTTAAAGCTGGAGAAAAGGTGTGTGGACTCTTGGTTTGTTTAGTTTTTTTTGGTCAGACCTCTTAGTTCTTGGTTTATGTTAGATCTTATCTTAGTGGTGCTTAGACTTTGATCTAGTTATGTGCTGTTCTGTCTTTATGAACTGGTTTGAAACTGCAAACTCTGGTTTGCAGCAAGATTTTTTTATTTTTCTTAACCTGTTCTTTTCATTGCTTGTATTACCATATGAGCTCCTTTTTGCACTTTTCTGTAGCCTTGTACAACTGAACTGTATTTGCTGTACTAATGTGGTTTATCAGTGCTGTGGATTTCCAGAAAATACTCTTCTGCTTCTAAGGATCGCGTGGGACACAGCAGTGATTATTTTTTGTAATAAAATGGCTGCTTACCTGTCTCCCTAGCTTTGTGATATGTTTTCTGTGAGTGATCCAAGAATGCTAAATGACTCTGCGCACTCCTTGGCTGCTAGGAGCATTTCCTCTTTACCCATACTGAGTAAGGGAACTCATGATTTCTCTTTATAAGCAGTCTCCAATTTCGGTTCAGTAGTGTGTTCATTTTTATTAACAGAGGGCCCAAAATAACTAAAGTTGTGTGCAGTTAGGGTTTTTTTTGTTTGGAAAGTAATTTTTAAAATACTATCTTTCCTCATCTGAAACACTGTGTAACATCACCAACATATCACTAGCTTTGCGTTTCTTTCCATGTGTTTCTTTCTGTTACCTTTTTAGAAGCCAGATTGCTCAGTTTGACATCATCATCTGACCTCTCAGTATTTTCAGCTGTCACAGATGCTTATCAGATGGCTGGGAGAGGATGCAGTTGCTGGTTTGTCAGGTCTTTTAAGCTTCAGGTCTGACTTAATCCGACTGGTTTATGCTGCTTGGAATTTCTAGACACACACTCAAAAATGATGTTTGAACAGACCCCTCTCAATCTAGATGCCTGACTCTTGGTCCCATAGTAATTCCTCAGATCTTCCAGGTGTCCCATCCTTTTTTGAACTGAACAACTACAACTGCTGTCCAGAGAGTCCCCCTGTGAGTAAATATTCTTGCTTATTTTGCACCTGAAGATATTGATGAGGTAGAAGCTGAAAGACACATAGAGGATTTTGGTAGTAAAAGAAGAAATATGCAATATTTATGAAAGTAACAATGACAAAATTTCCCTTTTTCATCATCACTGTATGTGAGCTGGTGTGAAGGTTGCCTGGGACCATTCTCAATGGTTCTTCTGCAGTGCAGCACTGCATGCTGAAATACAGAGCTTTTTCATTCTTGTCTGCCATTGGGACCTGAAAATTTTTCTTGGCAATCATTCTCGTTCCAGAAATGAAAGATCACTTTAATTTCTGTGTGTTTTTCAGTTTTGCTCAGTGCCCCAGAAGGTTTTTATATTCTCTCTCGGTACAGTACCTATTCTTTGACTTCCCTACAGAATTGACGTTGCAGACCGCTGATGATGTACTCCATCTAGTCTAGTAACAGAGTTCTACTACTTCTCCTGCTTAAGTCTGAAATACAGTGGTGAAACTATAGTGATAAAACATTTAGCAAACTTTTTGTATAAATATCTAGTTTAATTTCATTATATTCTTCACACGACCAAATACCTGCACTTTTTGCACTTGTTTCTTTTCTAATTGCAGGCTTGATCTTATTAATTTCCTTGCTGTCATGCTATTGAAAAAAAAATCAATTTTGCTCATTTTTAAAATTAAATTAATGAAAGGATGGGAACTTTGGTGTAAATAATAAGGAATGCTTTGCAAATTTTTTGTCAAACCTGTTGAAAATGTAAGTTTTCTTGTACAAGTGCAATGCCCTCACAGAATTCAATCATTGCAAAAATGCTGTTATCTGTCATTACCTTAGATTTTTAAGGAAAAGGGAAAAACAAAGCAACATGCTGTTAAATCTTGCTATATTATTTTCTTTTTAAAAGATACACTGTGAAGAAAGTCTTAAAGCCTATAAAATCTGATTATATTAGGTGAGAATACTCTTCCAAAACTATGCCATCAAGTGGGCTTTCTAAATTAGCATTTGTTTCAATAGGTAACCTTTGTGGACAAGGAAATTTTCCTAAGATAGTTATTTAGTAAAATACCACACAGTGTACCTGAGACTGACTTGTCAAATTTGGAGTTTTAGGGGTTCTTTTCATTTTGTCTTCAAGTGGACTTCAGTAGGCGGCAGTGGTGCCTTTAAGTATGTGAATATTGAATCTGCTTTTGACATTCCTAAAGTTTGGGAAATATTCTGCTTGTTTCAGCTCCTAAAATACTTGCAAAGAGAGAGACCACAGTTGAAATTAAAAAATAAGGAAAGGATTGTAAAGGAAATAAATTCAGCTTGCCTTTATGTACCTGGTAATAAGTAACATGTTACTAAAGGTTGGGGTGTACTTTGCCTGCACATACCAGATTCTTGTTAGACTTGCAGATCAGTTCTTTAGCATCATCCTACAAAAAGCAGGAAACTTTATAGCCTTGTTATTCATCCTCTTTTCCGGAAGACTATAAAGACTTGCTGAAGTGCTTGGCTTGGCTCGGCTCAAGAGTTGAGATGACCACAGCCTCCATGCACTTCTGTTGTTCTGTATCAGAGGACAAACACTTCATGTCTTGGAGTCCTTGTAGCTCTCAGACTGGAAAGCAGGACAGCTACAAACAACTGTTTTCATATCCATAGCTACTCTGTTGAATCACTGTCTTCTACCTCGTGCTTGCTTGCTGCAGGGAACCATCCAATTTATAACTGGGGAAGGACTAGAAATTCACTTTCTGTATGCGTATTTTAATTACTCGGGTGGTGATTTAATCACATTTCTTTATTGATTGTTTATAGCTGGGGTTATAAACTTTGTTTCAGGATGTCTTTCATACATCCGTTCATACTGATTTACAAACTTTCCATCTGTAGGATATAGATACCTCCTTAATGTCCGGTTGTTTTGGGTGTGTTGTGACACAATCTTAATGTCAGTCTTTATCTGCAGCCGTGTTACAGAATACAGTACCTCTGTTTGCATGCTAATGGAGGTATTATTCAAACAAAAAATTCCTTAGTGTAGTAGCAGTTAAAATTTCCCCTTTGTCTTTCTGAAACTGGAAATTGAACTCCAAACTCCAGCATGAAGAGCTCTTCAAAATTTAAGCGTGTAGTTTTGCTGTCTTGTGATTATGTTTCTTCAAGTTGGGTGTTGGTAACCTAATGTAAGGTGAAACCTCGTTATGGCTCATTGTTTTCCTTGTGACTTTTATGTTACGGTTCTGGCTCAAAATTATGTTTTATTCCTGTTTTGAGCTACCTCCTGTCCTTGTTCTTCTATCTTAGTTGCCACCAGTACAAGACAGCTAAATATATCAGCTGTGCTGATGTTTTAGAGGGCCAGTAAATACCCCTGGAAAATTCCTGGAGAGTGTGTCTAGGTGAGCAGAAGATGAAATGTATGCAACCAATGATCAGCTGTGGAAAAGCTTTAATGAAGTGTCTGATATCAATGAGACATGGAGGAAAACCTGTGTTACTCAAAAAGCAACTACTGAAAGCAGAACAGAAAAGCCACAGAGGGTTGCTGGGGATGGCTTAAAAATAAGCAAAGGCGGCATGAGTTCGTCAGTTCAAGTAACCTTGAACAAACTTAGTCTTGTCCAGACAGAGTACCTAATCAGTTGGTTCTGAGGTTGGATTTCTGCTTACAGTAATCAAATCAATAGTGTCTAGACACATGAGTGCTGAAGGTCAAGTTGGAAGTGAGGTTGACATGTGCTGTTTGCAGTGTTTCACTAGAGCATGCAAACTTTCCATCTGAAGATGGGGTTACAGGATATAGCCACTAACTCTGAACCAAAAACAACTGACACTTAAAAAAGCAGGTGTGCTGGCTACCAACCCAAATGTTATCTTCCCCTGTCATCTCCCCCATGCATTCATGTACTTGGCTAAAAACCAGTTAAACAAATTCTTCATAGAGACACATAGAAAAGAAATATTTATCTACCTCTCCTTGCTGCAATGCAAGCTAGAGAGCTGTCATAGCCAGAGAGGTGTTTTCCCTTGGGATTGGCTTAATGTTACCAATTCTAATTGTTGGTGAAAGTTGCTTTCAATAGCTTTACTTAATTTTCAAAGTATGTTTACTACATATCTCCACATCTGGAAGGCTAGGCACTTTTTGATCATAAATATTTAACCTAGAAACATTATTTAACAATATCAAGATAAACAGAGAAAACTGATGTGTTTTTCTGACAGCTTTTGTCTATATCATCTAAAGAGTTGTGTAACGCATCA